TGTGTGTGTGTGTGTGTGTGTGTGTGTGTGTGTGTGTGTGTGTGTGTAAAAAGAAGTGCCATCTGAGGTAATCCGCCATCACACTGCATCCTCACATAACTTCTGTTTCTCTCTGGAAAACAAGACAAAAAGAGTACCGGTAATTAACGAAGACGATGAGAGTTTATAAAATGTTCCAGCTTATATCACAACTATCATAGACAAAGCCGCCAAAACAAAAGTAGCAGCAACTTAATATACATGAAGGTGACTTTGAAAAGTTGTTGAGGCTGCAGCCAACAGACGACCCCCCCCCCCCATGTGCAGGGTGGACGAGCCTCGGTGGAAAGCCCGACATCATATTAGTCGGCCTGCAGTGAGTGTCATTAAAAAGCTCTTAGCGAGCGGTCTGCAAGAGCTGATAAATAACCAAGAGAGAGGCAGACTGAGGATTAGGGCTCGGTGCCTATTAGCCAGTTCACTTTTGGATCCAGTTCCAAATTGATAGAACACCCCAATGAAGATACTAGTAAGAGGAGGATGTACTGAGTAGTGAAGAGGGTGTGGTGAATAAGACGATATGGAGCAGAGAGAGATGATGATGATTGGAGCCAGGGGGAAGAACAAGAACTGTGTATGAGAGAGAGTGAACAAATGAAAATGAGCTGCAGAGCACAATTATATGCAAATCTTATGACTGATGTGAGTGATAGCAGTCCCCTTTTTTTTCTTCTTTTTTTTATCATTTAACGGTTTCTCCGCTCGTCTCTAATTCGTATTCTCCACCTCTCCGCCCGTTCTTGTCCAGTTTAGTTTGGGCAGTGCATCCATCACTTCTTATCACTCCTCTATCTTTCTCGTCTGTCCACCGTCCACTCTTGCGTATGCCGGGAGTGAGAGAGCCACACCCATCCATCATTCCCGTGCCACCGTTACAGGCGTCCGTCGCTGCACCCCGTTGACTTTCTGTCTGGGAAAGCACAGATTCCATTCTATCATATCACACATATCAGTGCTCATGCAACATGTACAAAACTAGCTCTTTTCAAACACATCCAGCTTATATTTCTGTGTTTTTTAAATCTCTAAACTGCCACAGATCAAGTAGTATGACAGGTTTATCTTCCTGTTTGAATTCATCACAGGTGTATTATCAGAACTACAGCAACCAAGTCACATACAGTCAAATCAAACTACACCAGGACACTCTAAGACTAAAAACTCAATACAGAATTTCAAGGAAACTAGCTTAAATATTCTCAATCATAGTGCCTGGTAGTATGATTAATATGGTTAATAGTTAAGTGTAGTAGATACTTTATATTGATGTCTTGTGTCAATAAGGTGCAAAAAATCCTCCAAAAAAGAGCAGATTCTACTTTGCTGAATTATTGATGTTGAGCTTGTGTCAGTGAACACTTCCTGTGCAAATATTTCACATTTAAAGCTTAACATTTTTGTTCAAGGGTCATAATAATAATATTAACAATAATAATAAACTTTATTATATAGTACCTTTCAAAACAAAGGTTACAAAGTATACAAGTAGACAAACAATGATTAAAAACAGTTTAAAAGTTATACAACAACAAAAGTGAAATAAAACAATATTAAATAATTAAAATAACCATTAACATAAAAGGTAAAAGAAGGCCGTTGTATACAGATACAAGTAAAGAATTCAAGCCACAAACCCTGTGAAAGCACACTTATATTTTTAAGATTGCTATAAGGAGTCTGATCTCCTGAGGGAGGTTATTCCAGAGAGGACTGGAGGACAGACAAGACCCAGTCACCCTTCATCTTCTGTTTGCGGACGCATTATGCTGAAAATATCAAGACAGCAGGTACACATGGAGGAAGTGTTGAGTTTGCATTGATATGTCTTAGTAAAAGGAAAGGCGCGTCTCTAAAATTAGCCCACATTAGATACAGTTCTGGTTCCCCTTTTATTCTTCCAGAATGTACGGAAACAAACGTTTCATCAGTTTTCACCAGAGCATCTTCCTCCTGCCCAACACTTTGTGGTTTCAGGAGATCTTTACTGAGATGTTTTCAGTGGAATCATGAACGTTCATCGCGGGACGTTGAGGTTACTGTGGTGAACACACACACACACACACACACCTCATCCCCATTCTGCCCGGCTCTCTATCACGGTCAATTAGGCCTCTCATTTACCGAGTCGCCCGCCTCAGTTGTGAAGCATCAATGTTATTTTTCTCTCTCTCTCTCTCTCTCTTTCACTTCCTCCCTCTCTCCCCCTCTCTCTCTCTCTCTCTCTCACACAACCTCTCCCTCTCTCTCTCTCCCTCTCTCACACACACACAGCCTCTCCCTCTTCCTCACCTCTCTCTCTCACCCGCCTCAGCGTCACCATCTGATTCGCTGTCTCGTCTGATTTACTTCAATCACCCTCTCTACCAATAGGCTCTTTTGCATTTTGAGTGCCGTTTGTCACATGTGACATCACCACTTAGCTGGAGGGAAAAAAAAGAAAACCTTTCCCACTTTGTTTTAATTATCCAATTTTACAAAACACCCTGGGGTTGAAATTTTACCTCATCTAGTATTTCATAAATATTTCCTTTCTTTCTCACACTTTTGAACTTGTTGCCCCGCTCTAGAACAAAAGTACTCTCCACCAACTTCCTCCCAATGCTCGTTTCCAAGGTCGTTTCTCAAAATAATGACGGAGGAGTCTTTCGCAGGGATTGCCGCGAGGCGCTTTTTATTTCCCATTACAGTGGAAATATAGCCGCGCTCTAATTAGCCTTTGTCTGGCTTCCTTGTGTTTTTTATCCCGGGGATTCCACTCCGACCTCCTCTGCAGCTCGCTCTCTGAACGCGGGCTTTATTTTAATAAAGGCACAGGCTGCTCTGAGCCACGAGCACACAGGAAGAATAATACAGAGAGGAGAAGAAGACGATAGTCTGGGAAAATTAAAGAATGTACATAACAGCCCATGGCACTGAATCCATCTCTGTCAAGGCTAACCTTTAATTACTGAGCCCGGTGGCAGAGCCGGGTTTGAGCTGTCCGGGTTTCTGATCCATTCTTTTTTCTTTTTCAAGAACATGAAAGGAGAGTTTTAAAGTTCAGCGTGTTCGAGCTCCGAGTGATTGACATGCGTCAGTAACGGTTGAGTGTGTGTGTTTGTGAGTGGGTTGTATAAAGGGTCAGTTCAGCCACATTACAAATAAACAACGTTCTCACTTCCCTTCAGAGTAATGCTGCTGCAAGCTTTCAGTTCAAAACATCTGGAAAGGCTTTTACTTACAGTAGTTTAACACTGGTCAGTAGAAACCACCTCAAATTGGAGTTTCTTTACAACTTTAGCTATATTGTCCCCACACAGACTTAACCTGAGGATACACAAAAAGTCTAAAAATACTTAAAACACATAAATAAAAATGTGTATAATGTATTGCTGTGGAGGCAGAAATCGAACTGTAGTATGGTAGTAAATAGTTGGATACAAACAAAATGATTATCTCACCAAAGCAAATGGAAACAAAAGAAAAATGGAAGCACAGTTACGTACTGTGTGTGTGTGTGTGTGTGTGTGTGTGTGTGTGTGTGTGTGTGTGTGTGTGTGTGTGTGTGTGTGTGTGTGTGTGTGCGTGCGTGCGTGCGTGCGTGCGTGCGTGCGTGCGTGCGTGCGTGCGTGTTGGCGTGAAGATAAACGGCCTCCATGAGGTTTAGCTCATATGTCACATTCAGGCTGCTCTCATCCCAATTAAGCTGGTAATTGGACTTTGAGCTGCCGATGGATGACTTCAGGCATTACCTCATCGCACTGGTCACGTGTGTGTGTGTGTGTGTGTACCAATGACTCATACTAACATCTCATACAAAGACATCTGGGGCCCCAAATTGTTTTACCTCATCTACCTTCCTCTCTCGGAATGTTTTCATATTACTTCTGCCTGTTTTCTTTCATGGTAATAATTATTAATTTTGGTTTGGTTGATTCTTTATTTTTGATCAACACTATTTCAATTGTTTTCAAATTTTAGATTTTTTGGTGTAAAATATAGTTTGATATAAATTTGGTCCGGCACCAGGTTAAAGGTAAAGCTTGTGCCAGTTATCAAAAGTGTGTGGGTTACTGGTTCTCTCAGTGCTGCGTCCTTTGTTTTTGTAATCTTCCAAATATTAATGTCTGTATCTTGTAAAACAAGACAGAATGAGACAGAATTGATATCAAGAGAACATGTCTTGATTGTTAAAAAACAAAGATTGGAAGATTTTGGGACGAAATGATATATTAAATCAGAGATGATTTTCATGTGTCTCTAACGCTTCAATTGCAGTTGCAGAAGATATTGTTTGCAGTCATAAATGGGTGTGATGAATAATACAGCAGGCTAACAAAGCCTAAAATTGCCTGGAATAAAATCTTCTCTCCCATAACACACACACACACACACACACGGCCACTGCTTGTCACAGGTCGTCATCCCCTATTCTCAGGAAAGTGAGACATAGAAAGGTCAAGGATATTGCTGGTGTCGCTATTTTGTCCTATTGTAGAGAAAGGTATGGGGGGGGGGGGGTACGATAGAATAACTCCCAGGAGGAGGGCAGTAGAGAGAAGATGGAGTCCACTGTGTGAAAGACGGATGGATTGATATTGTGTTGGAGCCGGCAGACTGAAGGAGACATCACTGTCATAAAAACCCCTGAGAACTGACGAACACTCACTGCAGACAGCCTTAGTTTATTACTGACAGCTACACACACACACACACATGCAGTCCGAGGCCCGCCGGTCTCCAGAGGCGTTACCTTTTTTGTGTGTGTGCAGCCATCTGAGTCCAGAGGTTGTCATGGTCTCGGGTTTACACAGCTCCCAGACACACACATGATGAAGACCCCGAGGTCCCGTTAGCGTGTGTGGCCACCATCCAGCTTTTTTTTCCCCC